ACAGTAAATTAGGTTGGTAGGCAAAAGAAACTGAAAAAGAAAAACTATCTCCCAGAATGTTAATTCTCCACCAAATATTTAAGGAAGAACTGGAACAAATGAGGCTAACTTTTTGGTTCTTATAGTATTAACATTAATACTATAATGTTTCACCTAAAAATAAACTAAAAAAAAAAAAACACCCAAAAAACAGATAGCTTCTAAACAGGCTCACCTATTTTGAATTCAGAAGTTCTATAACTATTGCTGATCCTGATTTTACAAGTAAAATAGACAAAAAGACTGAGTAAAGGACTTGAAACAATTCAACTTCAGAGGAATACAAAATCCAGTAAGGCTTATTTTAATGGCAATTTGAAGCAGATATATAGGAAGCATGGGAACATAGGCGGATTTCATAAAACAAGGGGATTATGACAAAAAATGTTCACTAAGTACTCAGCTAAATTAAGATCAAGATGTCAAAGGACACAAAATGCGCTTTTGCAATTCTAAAGGAGTAAACAAACAACTTTATGATTGGAGAAAAAGGAACAAGGTAAGCATAGTCTTAGAAAAATGCTTTAAAAAACAAAACAATGTAACCTGATTCCTTCCCTCTCTTCCCCATTACTCATAGAATATAGGTTTCCAGTTGTTATGATGGGATCCTAATTAATCCTAATTAGGAAAGCAAGGAACAGGGAATTTAAAAAAAAGTCAGACCTCTGTAGCCTGTTATCTTAGCACAATTTTTCTGGCCTATTATCCAGATACAACTAAATCAAGTTTGCTCTCAGGTTTACTACATTCAGGGATTCAAGCACCCACCACAATGTTCCTTTCTTATCTGTTTACTAACAATCAATTCCTTTAATATCCAGCATATATAAGTGAGTGATATCAGAAGAGGTGAGTGGATGACTAAAGGAGGGAGCTCATTAAATGAGAAAGAATAAGAAAGGGAACACAAGAAATACCAAAGACACACAGCTATTTTATGGTTTTGCCTAACAGGCATGTTTTGTCCACCTTCAAATATATCCAGACAAGTATTAACAGCAATAGCCAGAAGTGCAGAAGCACATACCTTAGTGGGACTTCCATTTATTAAGAGTATGATTTAATCCACCCCAGTTTGCCTGGTTCATAAAAATGTGTTTTAACTATAATGAGTGGACCTCATTATAAAAGGAGAGTCTATCTCAGAATACTGCTTAGTCAATGCATTATTATAATTACACAGCTTAACTAAGATCGTCAATAAGAGATCTTAAAAACAATACAATTTTAATTGTAATGTGATTGTAAGATGCTCCCTTCTACAGATGCACAGCACAAAAACAGTTAATGAATATCATACCTAGTTACAATGCATTTTTCAATGTATTCACTATACCATATGGTCATATTGTCCCATCTTATACCATATGGTCATAGAAAGTAGTATCAGGGGAATATAAGTGGTCAGAAGTAAATGTTTAATGCCAAAAGTAGAAGCATATTCATTGGATAAATATTTAACAAGCGTATGTCACTTACCAGAATATTCTATTTTGAGCACCTACAAAGTAATACTTACAAATATAGGACATGCAACTTTTTCAATTCCCAACATAATTTTATGTTTAAGATGTTTGATAACAAGAGTAAAATAATTAGAAACAACCTAATGTCAAAAAACATGTTTAGTTTAAAAATTGCAGTATATCTAATGATAGGTAAAATATTTTGCTATATAGTTAAGTTAAAAATATTACAAAACCACATACATTGTATTGTATTATCTATAATAATAAAAGTGTAATATGTTAATTAGACCGGACAGCCGAATGACCTTCTGGACGAAGCTGGGGCTGCCACCACAGCTTCGAGAGCTGAGCCCCTTGCATGAATTTCATGCATTGGGCCTCTAGTAAAAGCATAAGATCAGTATATGGATATACGTACATCAAAATGTTTATATAATTATATCTTAGTGACAAGATAACAGATGATTTTGTTTACTTTTTGTACTTAGAGCTTTCTAATTTTTCAAAAATGAATGTGCTTTCTGTCCATAATTAGAAATGTTTTAGTGCAGCTGAAATTTCTGTGAGAAACATTTTTTTAAAAACATATTTCACTGTCAGGTAAGGTAAATCTTTAGAATAAAGCATGTCATTTTACACAAGCACAATTTTTCATTTATTTCCATGCACGTGACAATTAGAAGATATCTCTTTAAGTGAATATAAAGAAGGCAGTTCAAAAATCCATAGTACATTTCAGCTTCCACTGAATTAATACCAACTTCAAATTTAAAATTATTTCTTGGAAAAATTTATTCTACCACCATGACATTGAAATTTATATTTAAAAAAGACCCATTTTGAATCACTTATCCCTCTCCCCATCAAATACATTTATTATCAGCTCTTATAAAAAAAGTATAAAGGAAAAACTTCTATTCATTACTAAACATTAAAACCTGGATGAAGGAGGCAGAGGGAAACACTTTTAACTAATTAAAATTAGTTATTCTATTTATTTATGCATTCATTGGTTGTTTCTTGTATGTGCCCTGACCGGGGATCAAACCCAAAACGTTGGCATATCTGGATGATGCTCTAACCAACTGAGCTACCTGGTCAGGGCCACAAATTAAAATTTGTTCAAGTATCCTTAAGATTTCAGGAGATATGAATATGCTTTCCGATTATTGGCTATTTAAACTTAAATCCAACTGGCCTAGAGGTACTCAAGCATTGATTCATGAGAATTGCCTAGGAAGTGTGCAAATGCAGAAACTCATGCCCTAGCTCTCACCTAATCAGAATCTTCAGAGGGTGGAATTCAAACAATCTGGCCCTTTCAAATAGGATAACAGAGATTCTACTTTACAAACACCTTCTCTATATCATTGCAAACTATTCTAATAACTCTGAAACAAAATTCTCAGTAAACAATACTATAATCAGAAAATTACAATTTCATGAGCCATACACACTAATTTATCTACTCTTCTAGATAACAATTTAACAAAACTATACGTGATCTATAGAGTAAAGCAAGCCTAGAGGCACCTGTGCCTGGTAAGACAAAGGCATATCCGATTCATGGAAAAAATAGACAGCAGATGTGACCCTTAGTATTTATCCATTAAAAACAATGTATCCTAAAAATAAATTTCCATGTCAACGGAACAAAGCTGTTTATAAATAAGAAGGAATGTGGAGGTGTGGGGAAGACAAGAGGAAGCTTCAGCAAGTTAAGTACCAAAAGCCAGGAAACAAGGCAAAATGAATGGCAACTGGGGACAAGGAAAACAGAATAAACTAGTAAATGGAACAAGGGAAGAGCTCTATCCTTAGAATCCAAGAGAAAACCAAGCTGAGCAAAAATGCAAACTGTAAAGTGGAAAATGGTGTAATTTTGTTAAGAAGAATATATGAGACAATTTAGAGTAGATCAAAAGATGGTACAGAACACATCATGGGCATAGATGGAGGTGGTATAAGAGGATGAAAAACAAACATTGTGAACAAACCGATACTAATTAGAGCAAGCACAGCAAATGAATTTACAAAGTAAAGATGATGAAGCAGGAAAAAGAATTGCATAGACAGAAAGAAGAAAGAATGAAACGTTATGAGAATTGGGAAACAAAATGTAACTAGCAGGAAGGAAAGAGAACTTTGAGCACAGTCAACGGCATAAGCCACGCTATCTGATCAAGAACTGTAAAGCGCAGTTGTTATACCATAGATTATCTCATTACTTGTAAGTATAATGAAGTGTGTTATTTTATGTAATAAAATGCCAAATACGAAATACGATAAATTTTATGTAATAAAAAACATAATGGAAATAAACTCATTTGACAAGGTGATAAGCTGAATAATGCAAAAAAAAAAAAAAAAGAGTCTGAGAGAAGCCACGGCTAAAAAGCAAAAAGTGAAAGAAAAAAACTGGGACAGAAGGAAGGACAACAGAAGGAAGGCAATCAAACCTATTTTTAAAAAACCGGTAGGAATAAATAGAGAGGTGTGAACGGACAATGGAAGAACCACCAGAAAGTGCCGGCAGTGCAAGTGAAACCTGATGGAATCTTGACAGCTTCAGGATTCAGAAGGTAAGCAGCTCCAAAGCGTTCGGAAGGACTGGTGGAGCGAACAATGGGTAACAATGCCGGGGAGCCGGGGAATGAAGTCGGGGGGCCGTGGGATGCAGCCAAGGGCCCCAAGAGGACCAGGGGACAGAGAAGTGCAGAAAGTGGTCTTCAGTAGATAGGAGCTGAGGTCAGCAGGCGGGCGGGCGGGCCGGCAGGTGGGGATGGGGCGCGGGAGCCCCGACCAACCTTCGGAACGCAGGGTCCTGAGCCCGGGACGAAAGGGAGAGCGGCAAGTGGGGGTTGAGGTTGGAAAAAGTACAGAGTAAAGCAAAACCAGCCGCTGGGTAAAACCGGTGAAGAGACATCCCCCCCAAAAGTAGAGAAGTAGAAGGGAGGGCAGCGGCCTGGAAAGGGGGACAGTCCGCGAGAGCAGAGAGGGCGGGATGCGCCCCATCATCCCCAGGACCCTGTCATCATGACCGACACCACGGTACCTGGGGCTGGATGCCCGGCCCGGCTCCGAGCCCACATCTGCCGCCGGGATGCCGCCGCCCCCCGCTGCCCCCCGCCCGGAATAACGAAAACGTCTCGGGGATGCGCGCCTGGCTCCCTCCAGCCAGCCGTGACCTAGGACCAACCCTAAGACTCGCCCCCTACGGAGAGCCTCCCGCTCCACCACCGCTCCCCGAACCCCCCGGGCGGGGGTGCGGGCCAGGGGAACCCCCCCCCCCCCGGGCCATCGTGTGTGTTTACGTAGCGAGGAGCTGCAGGACGGAGAGGGACCGGGGGAAGACGCACCTCCCACCCGCAGAGCCCCAAGGAGAGGGTGGCTGAGGGCGCCGGAGCCCCCAGCGCCACCTCTTCCCCCCAAATAAACACCCGCCGGCCGAGCCGAGACGGGAAGGGTGCAGGGGGCGCCGGCACTCACCTCCTCGGGGATTGCTGGGGTCCCGCAGCCGAAGAGGCCGCGGCGCCGGCGCCGGCCTCGGGCTCCATGTCCCCGTTGAACAGAGCCTGGCCTGCTCC